TATAAGAACTTGAAAGTTCCGATACCATAATTGAAGAGCATTCTAAGCAGCTTCTGGCGGAACTTGAACGGAACTTTCAGAAAATAAATTCAAAAAGGTTTTTGTCCTCTACACCAAATTCTATGTTTAGTTCGCACTTTTATGAAAGTTATTTCTAAAGGCAGGTATTATTATATAATGCGTATTGATTTATCAGCATTAGTAGTAGAATTGGAGCTGTTTGAAGAATTAAACCCAGTCCTTCTGCGTGCGAGCCCCAGCACGAACCGCTGCGTCATTTGAGATATAATAAAGTGAGCTGTTGTCCCGCCTACTGTTGGAGTTTTCAGTGCCAGCTGACTGACTTGAATACGAAACACAACACCTTGATGAATTTTAAATTGATGTTTGCCCGCATGGTATTCCAACGCATTTGTGGCGCAGTGGTTAGCGTTCGTAGATCGCATGCCGAATACACGGGTTCGAATCCAGTAAATTACTTTTTAATTTTTTTTTATGTTTGAATTGAATGTTGATGCACTGCATAAATATAAAAAAATATGATTTATTCGGGCCGCTGATCGTTTAATATTTACGTACATTAAATTTTGTTACTAATAAAGACTTGTGCGGATTGCTTCATGTGGATTGAAAGTTCTGTCGGAACTTTATTTGAACTTTATGGAACTTGAAAGTTCTGTCGGAACTTTATTTGAACTTTATGGAACTTGAAAGTCCTGTCGGGACTTTATTCGAACTTTATGGAACTTGAAAGTTCTGTCGGAACTTTATTTGAACTTTATGGAACTTGAAAGTTCTGTCGGGACTTTATTCGAGCTTTATGGAACTTGAAAGTTCTGTCGGAACTTTATTTGAACTTTATGGAACTTGAAAGTTCTGTCGGGACTTTATTCGAGCTTTATGGAACTTGAAAGTTCTGTCGGAACTTTATTTGAACTTTATGGAACTTGAAGGTTCGGTCGGAACTTTATTTGAACTTTACGGAACTTGGAAGTGATTTTAATCGTTGAATGCGGAACTTTTGGTTACTTGGGAGGTTATGATCTCTAGAACAACTTTACCGAAGACAGTAACTTTCTATCTGGTCAGGATCTCAAGATTTTCCATGTTGTAACCAATTAAGTCAAATCCCACGTAGGACGGACACCGTTAACGCGGTTTCCATTCACATTTTCTCTATTATCCGCATTTTTTGGGGGTTAAATGTGATAAACGTTTAGCTTGTTTAGTTAAAAACAAGTTTTTTTTAAGGAATACCCGTTGGTTTCATATCGATTGGTAGCTCGGCTGCAAAATGGCAAAGGAAAACTCACACTGTTGTACAAAGTACAACGCGCGAGTAATCGTGTTACAAAAGTTGGCGCGAGTAACGGAGGGTTAAGAACGAAGATGACGTGGAAATACCGGAAACAATGTTCGCCATCATTTTTAAATCCAAGATGGCGGCTTTCGGTTACATTATAATTGAGAAATATTGTTAAATACCCTTCATCCCAGATTTTACTATAACCAGAAGCCACCATCTTGGATTTAAACTGGCGTCGGGCATTGATTTCCGATCTCTAGACATCACCACGATTCCAAAAATACCCACATTTAAAAGTGTTTGATATTTTTTTCCAGACTTTATTACAACCAGAAGCCGCCATCTTAGATTTCAAAATGGTGTCGGGCATCGATTTCGGGTCTCTAGACGTCACCACGATTGCAAAAATATCCATATTGAAGGGTATTTGACAATGTTTTCTACATTTTGTATAATCAAAAGCCGCCATATTGGATTTCAAAATGGCGTCAGAGATCGTTTACCGTTCGCTAGATGTTACCACCATTCCGAAAATATCCATATGTACACTCAAAATAATGTTCACGTCAATGCTACGTGAAAACATACGTAGATTTTTTTCCATCGTACTTTTCACGTAAGAGTTACGTGATTGGCATGTAGATGCACTCATTTCGTCAAGCTTCAACTTCACATGAGTATCACGTATAACTTACGTGATTTTGCTTATGAATGTCATGGTGGTTTTAAGTACCATTGTTATTGATGATACTTATATACTTTTTTTTATTTATTATTATAATGAATTTTCACAATATATCAGACTAATAGCCACAATGAAATCCGATGAAACCAAGGAGAAACACTTATAATTCCAATCAGGTGCAGTGTGATAACATAGAGGTTGGTGATAATCCAAGTTATTTTTCCGCGGGGAACTGCTGGATTGCTTAACACCTACCTGTAAAAAATAATAAAATAATAAAGTGAGTTTTGACAATGGAAAAAATAACCCGTATCTTATACTTACATCTTGCAATTAATTTATCAAAAACATCTCTATATCTAGCCGCCATGTTGTGCACCATGCTGAGTGTCGTACTCTTTTTTTCAGAAGTGGAAACCATGTAAGGTTTACGTGAAACGCACATAGAAATTGTCTATGTGGAAATCACGTAAATTTCATTGGATGCGTTAGAGTATTCAACAGAAATTTTCTTTAATATTCAAATGGTATCACATATATGCTACGTGAGTCACGTAAAGCTGATAGAATAGGGAAACGAGATACCTTATGTGATTTTTCACGTAACTTTGACGTGTCGATTATTTTGAGTGTAGTTTGTTGGACAAGTTTGGCGGACTCTTTACTGATAAAAATAATTTTTCCCACTATGCCAGGTTTTTCGCTTTGCATGATAATATAAAATTATAGGGATGAAACAGGTTTCCAAAAATGTGATGGAGATAATATATGTACGCCGTTTAATTGATAAGGATAATATCACGAACGTTCTCTCAAAAGATAGGGATGGATAATAACATCTCCATCATTGATAGGTTCTCTGCTGATAATATAACTCTCACTCCTATCAATGATAGGGATAATACCCTCTATTATCTACACACTTAGAAAAATTCATGTAAATTTAGGTGCTCTGAGAGTGACATATACGAGCGTCAATTTTGACGTAAATTGGAGTCATAACAAAGGTTTGAGCCTCACGCGCGTATTACGGATATAGAGGACTGAATTTAACAATCGATTAAAAAAAAAAATGCAATTTTGAAGCTTATTTGGAAGATACCTTGAGTTAGTAGTAAGTTTTCTGGCAAATGTTGGGGGTTTGTGAGCATTCCTGACATTGCTGAAAATTATGATAGCATCAGATTGCGGGGTTGCTAGTGTAATAGGATGATTTGTTGATTGTTCATTAACTCTTGATCGCTTCTTCTTCTTCTTCTTCTTCTTCTTCTTCTTCTTCTTCTTCTTCTTCTTCTTCTTCTTCTTCTTCTTCTTCTTCTTCTTCTTCTTCTTCTTCTTCTTCGCATTTCAAGCTTATTGCATATCGCATATTAGCCTATTGCGTGCTCTCAACTTAGTGTTCTACATGCATTTCCACAGTTATTAATTGAGAGCTTTCGATGCCTGTACCATTTTTGCATTGGTATAATTGTGTGGCAACAAGTCCAATCATACTTCTATGCCCAGGGAAGTCGAGAAATTTTCCAACCCGAATAATTCCTAGACCGGACCGGGAATTGAACCCAGCCACCTCCAGCATTGTCTTGCTTTGTAGCTGCGCCTTAGCCGGCTGAGCTAAGGGAGGCCGCTTGTAATACTTATGAATATTTTAGGTGGACAAAAAGGCGAACTAAGAGGTGGACGCCTGAGCTTTTCCATATTTATATCGCTGTGAAGCAACTGTAAACTCTAGAGGGAATTTATATCTATAACTGTAACCAGTTCGATTTTGTTTGCAAACCTGGTTAAATTGTCTTATTTAATTATCTTAAAGATAAATCGTTCAGCTCAAACCTTTGTAGGGGTAAGAGGTGGGACCATCACCATCATAACAGACGCGAAATATAACTTAATCAAACGTACTTTTCGTCGAGCAACGAACTTTTCAGTCTCGAAGCACTTAAATAATATTACATGACTTGTTCGTTTACGTCTCATCTTTTATGTCGAAGATGAATTCCGTCACGTGTAGAACTAGTTATTTCTAAGTGTGTATCTATCATTTTTTCTATCACTGATAGTATAATTGATAGAAGCAGTTGTGATGGGGATAGGTAGGTAGGTGATTTTGATAAATGATAGGGATAATTTTGATGCCTGAAAGTGACTGTATCGTGTAAATCTTATTCAGTCCAAGGGCCTTAACATTTTTTCAACGGCCAAAATCTTATTTTTTTTTTTCAGATTCCGATTTGGAATCAAAATACGCGCTCGGGTCTTCCAGCCAACAGATTCTTAATCTTCGACGTATACACCTTTAATCTAACGTTCACATAAATGTTTTTTTTTTGCATAGAAAGCCTTCAATTTATAACTGATTAAGTGCTTCAAAGACCAACTAGGCACGTACACGTTTGTACGGGAGTGTCAAAGCCGAAAAGATGAAGGAGAAAGATACCTTACTGAATATTAGCCAATTACTATTAATAGATATGGAGGACAATGCGTCTCCATGGTATTTGAAATGTCAAACAACAGTACAGTTTATAGTGTCACTTGACAATGTTGTTTTCGAGCGCTAAAACTAACTAGAGCTACATATATCAAGCAGCAATAACCTCACAAGAGAAAATACAACAAACCGTTGAAGTATACAACAAGACTACTTCAATGGAAACCTATAAATTTTCAATTAATTTACCACAAACGCCGCGTGAAAGTCAAACTTAATCCAAACAAAATTTCACTTTTCATCGTGACCTAACTTCTTGCCGAATGGCAAAAAACAACAGAAAATCGCAGAAACAAGGAAGTAAACGCCGACAAACGTCTTAATAGTCGACCGACAACATTATTCCTTTGTGTTCCCCCTATTTCGCTTCGCAATGTCACCAGAACCAGACTATTTACCGAGGCTCACGTCGCGACGTCGTCGTTGTCGTCGTTGGTTGTTCATGTTCATCCCCATAGCTCAACCCGTGTTTTATTCCGTTGTATTGTAACAATGATTTTTGTTTTCTTTCGCTTCAGCTTAAGGCGAAATTGCGCCAGATCGAGGACTCTCTGCACGAGCGGGAGATGCAAATTATGTCCGCCGATCTACGCCGCGAGTACGAACGACAAATGTCCAACATCCGCAATCTTCGCGAACTGTACGAGGAACGGGAACGTGTCTCCCGGATGGAGCGTGACAATCTGCTGCGACAGCTGGAGCTGCGCAAGAATGACCTGGAAGCCGAGCAGGAAAAGTACGTACAATTGTTGGTGTCCTGTTGCTTTCCGTTTTTTCCGTTTTCGTTTTGTTTATCTACCCTACCTACATCTCGAGACGCATTTAAATTTAAATGATGAAAACAGAGCGTAAAGCTTTCTCCCCTTCTAGCGAAGCACAACTAATTAATCACGAAACAGAGCACAAAAATGACAATTTTTCCGCTCGACCATTGCAACTGCGACGACGCCCGATCTGTATTCTATTTTCATTTTTCCGCCATCAACAGGAACAAAAATCACGAATCACACGTCGCCAGCCTGCAGGCGGACTTGGAAACAATGAAAAACGAGCTGATTCAGACGCAGGAAAAACTAAGCCAATCCGCGGTGGAATCGCGACAGCTGCAAGCCGAAATGACCGTTGTAAATCAATTCATATCGAAATTCCTACTGGGAATGAACCGCAAGCAGACGGCCGGCAGTGTCAAGCTGGACAAGCTGGCCGAAGTGCTGCAGGAGAACCGGGGGCTGCTAATCGAAATGACCAAGGAGGAATCGGAAACGATCGATCTGGGGGCATTCCTTCCGCGGGCTCTCTACGATCTGGTAGCCGAAGTGGACGAAGAAAACCCCGACGCCAACGAAAGCGAGACTTCCACGGAAGACGGCGCACTCACACAGGTGCAGAATGCTTCGCCGGAACAGATCGCTGACAAGCTGCCAAAAGTGTGGCGGGTGCTGATTGAGCTGGTGAATCACCACGAACGAGTGCCGCAAGTTCCGTTTGTGGTGGGTTTCGGTCGATTTCGACCGATGATGTCATTGTTGAATGATGATTATGTTCTAAACTTTGATTCTGTTTACCCAGGAAAATGGCGAAAGTGAAGATTGCTTCAAGACGGAGATGACGAAAAATGGATCGAAAACGGTAGTTAGCGTTAGCAAGACGTATCTCAAGTTGAAGGTAGGTGGCAACGGGTGTGAGCAATCGCGATAAAGCAATGGTATGCAATTAGTTGGCGATTCGATTAATTTAAGCGGGATAACGTATCATCATCATTATGTGAATCATGGTGGGTCGAAAGTTCTACAGGATTCTGAAAATTGACGCAAGAGGGATTTAATTTCATTGGAAGCATATCAAATTGATAGCGAATTTGTTTTTGATACAGTTCGAATCTGGACCGGGTATCAAGATTGGGTTGGCTTGTTGTATATCAAACGTCAGTGTAAACGTTTGTTTTTTGTAATCTGGCTCGGGTTGAGGTTCGCACTGACAATAAGCTCGGTTTCGCATGGGTTGGAACTGGTTCCAACCTGGATAATAAACAAATTCGCTATAAGGGTTGGTTGATATCGGGGATTTTTTTATTATCGGACAGGTTTGGGTCGAAGGGTCTCATATTTTTATGAAATTTTACCCACAGGTAGAGTTTATCATTATATGAACGAAAAATAATATAGTTGAAGATGCTAATTACAAATAACAGACTGTAGTGGTAATTTTTATACGATAGATGGAGTACACTCAAAAAAATTTAAAATCTAAATAGATTAAAAGTTACACTAAATCGCAACTCTCCTGACCGACGCATAGATGGGAATAAAGAGAGAGAATACGAACTTAGTATAAAATTAGTTTATACGTGAAAAAGCATAAAACAGCAATATCCGTGAAATGCATACACATGATTTATTTGGAGAAATGCATTTTTGTCTTCTTTTACATTTTCTTGTTTCAATTAATTGTTTACAAATCAAAATAAAAGCATTTGATCAAGAATAATTAGTTCATAGCAAAATAGCTGATACATTTTACAGTTGTTTTATTAAAATGAAAAATTCAACTAAATTTACTAACCATTCCTGTGCAACTAGAACTATGCTACCTACAAACTAGCAGCACGATATGAAGAAAGGTCAGCTACAGAGGCAAGGTGAGGTTTTCGGTGAAGAAATCTGACCAATTCCCGACCAGGCCAATCTAGGTGCAAGCGATCGAGTCTTGGAACGATAATTGGCTACCGTGGAATTGCAGAACTCGGTGGTACTCTTACAGAGGTCCATTTCGCAGTGTAAGTTTTAATTCATCTAGGATTTGGCTCGGGATTTGGGGTGTAGGGAAATTGAAGTTGATGAGCCAAGCTGTGGGCAGATAAGAGGGAATTTTGAATAGGGTTCTTTTAGCAATGTTAAGGGACTGAAAACTTACGTCCATATAATTTCTCCTGGGGCAGATCCTATGGCAGTTGAGATACCATTTGTAGATTCTTTGATGACCCTCACCGTGTTGATCCGCACGACTTACGAGGGAAGCTCATCGGGCATCTATGGTGACATCACATTGTACAGGACATTCGGTCCCGGTTACGTGGGTTAGTTTTCCATTTTGGGAGATCCAATCTGCTCGGTGGTGGCTAGCTTGTTATTTGTGAAAATGAAATAACTTGAAACCTGAATTCTTCCTAAAAAGGTAATAATGTATTTTATCCAAACTGAGGTAAATGAAAACTATACCATTAACTGTTGAATTTTCAGCTTTCTTTTTAATGTTATTTAAATAACTAATCTTTTTCCACCCAAAAACAAACTTGATCGACTACATGAGCCATTGCGATTGAATTGTAATTTTCATTATGAAATTTATATATCCTCGGTACACACTGTAGGAATCTCACGGCGTTATTCTGACTTAGTATAATTTTGAAGAGAATTTTAATCCGATCAATGTATAAAATTTGCATATCCCAAAAATGATTAGATTTAAATCTATCTTTGCTTAGTAATATTTTTGAGTGTAGATGAAAGCATAGAGTTGATAGTTCCGTTGGAGTACGGCAGTGTGAAAATTGCATATAGATATTAGAATAGCGAGTTAGGACAACAAACCGATTTATACCTTCCTTAAAAGTTGTCCTAGCTCGCTATTCTAATATCTATATACAATCTTCACACTGCCGTACTCTAACGGAACTATCAACTCTATGCTTTCATCTACTCCATCTATCGTATAAAAATTACCACTACAGTCTGTTATTTGAAATTAGCATCTTCAACTATGTAAATCGTTGACTTCACGCAGAAGTAATACTAAAACATATAGTCAAAGAAAAATAATAATTAGGAATAAGAAATCACCGGGAAAAGGGCCTTAGCCCGGGAATTTTGATGCAAAATTGGGGAAAAATACATAATTCGATACTAGTCCTTGGAATGTTTCAAAAGCTCCTTGGAATGGACTGGATGTTTAGGCTTTTTTTTCAGTTTGAAGAATTAGGAACATTTACAATGAATTCTAAAGATAACACCAAGGAGTTTTGATAAAAACTTGTAAGAAGTTGTGAAAAAATACCAAGGTTTAAGAGAAGAGTAGGTCTGAGTAGAATATTTAGCTGGTTCTTCTTGGAAGGAATAAGAACGTCTGTTACTAACGGTGATTGACAAACTAATTCTAGATAGAGCTGGAATTAGGGCGTAACAGCTTTTGTAAATAATGACTACTACCGACGATTTCTAGGAATTCAAGGCACGCCTACGCAGACCAACCTAAACAATGGATGGCGGAAGTCTTTCCCTACCCGATGAGGGTGTTGATTTGCGTAGGCGAGCCTTGAATTTCTAGAAATCATAAAGAGAAGTCATTGTTTACAAAAGCTGTTAGGCCCTAATTCCAGCTCTATCTAGAATTAATCTTTTATTTCGTTATAACTACATAGGCTGCTAAGGCGCATGTTGCTTAGATCGAGGCTTCGATAACTCTACAAAACTCTTCAACATGTGGTCAGCCCAATTATTGATCGCAAATCCTCCATCTATACCCGGTGTAATGGTTTGGTTAGCATATCAACCAACATGTCTCCAGTTGTTCGTCGATTTTCCTCTTCTTCGCCAAATCCCGAACAAAATGGTATCTTGTATCCACATGCTTGGAACGCTTGGTGTAGTCACCAAGTTGGAGAAGTTTGATACAATTTTGGCAGTCTTCTAAAATCTTTACTGACAATGGGATCCTTTCTCCAAAGCATTCCAGTAACCGTAGTAACCATTCCAGTTCTTGTCAGAATACGGACAGCGAAATATACTCTGCTTCCGTCGACAATAATACTACGCATGTTTGCTTCTTCGTACCCTAGTGAACTAATCCACCGTCCAAACGAAATAGATTGCCCGAAGTAGATTTCCGATCAGTTGCATCGCTTGCCCAATCAGCGTCCGAGAACGCTCCGAGTATCTCGTCTCCTCCAAGGCATAACTTCAAACTGCGGTGTCTGTCGGTTTGCTAACTCGTCATCCTAGTATCGATGTGCTTACTGCAATATTCGACCTGGTGGTCACCGCTAAATACAATAAACTATGGGCTTTGAAACTTTTTGTGGTTCGGAAGCCTCTCTTTCCCCTCCTTTTGTTGGATATAGCCTGGATCTATCGGAATATGCTACGATTTTGCTTCGAGAATTCCGAATTGTTCAGTCAGTTGCCGGATGTAAGCAGTCTGGTTTAAATAGTACTGCTTTCCTCTCTTCTCGATCTCAATTGTGCACGTCTCCTAGCTGGGTCAACTTGAATTCAGCTCCCAAGGACTTCACAATACCAGTTCTCCTTCTGGCTTGAGCACGCCAGGGTTATTCTGCGTGGCGAATGAGGTGAGACGAGTTGAGTCACCAAACTCACGCGATTCTGACAGGCGAAAGAAGTGAGAAAAGTCACCTCGGATGAACTCTGATGAACTCTCACTGAAGTATTGCAGTCAAAAATGTCATTCAGAGACGTAGCCTAAAATGTTGACGACTAGGGAAAATGGAGGCGAAGAAGTAAGTAAATTCAATTTTTGCGATTTGATTTCTTTAACAATACAATGAAATTCGTTTTTATTTTTCAAATTAGCAGCTCTATTATAGGTAGTTAGTTACTTGGACAGAGTTTTGAATTTTTCTTATAGCTGTGACCTCGACAATTTGCCGTGGCGATAATTAATTTCAGTAATATTCAGGACGTATACAAAATCTAGAAAAATTCTCAAAAAACCTACATAATATTTCAAAATTAACTATTTATTTACTATCACAGATATTGTTGTTGGAAGGCTTATCAATTGTTTCGATTGATGGATTGTCCGATATCTGGCAGCTGGTTTTGAAACTCCGGAGCAGCCGGTTGGCAAATTCGTACACGGTGCAGGTCTACGGTTGTGCGCCTTTTGGTAACGGAAACGATGCGTCTTTGCACAGTTGAGCCAGGCTGGAAATCCGTAGGTTAGAATAGGCCGAAGTACACATTTGCTTAGCAGAAGTCTGTTGTGAAGCTGGAGGCGAGTTCTTCGATTCACCAGAGTGTACAGAGATCGGGTCAGTCCCGAGCACTTTGCAAGCGTTTGGTTAATGTGTTTGGTAAAAGTAAGCTTAAAGCAGAGGACTAATCCTAAATATTTAGGACCGCCGAGTTTCATACAGGAGGCTGGAAAGTGGTGTTGAGCTCTTTTGCGTGTGAAGAAGACGGCTTGAGTTTTAGTGGGATTGATGTTGATTCTCCATTTGTCGTAGAACTCCTCAAGGCGATTCTGTGCTTCCTGAAGTTTAACCGTTACGATTTCTGGATTTTTGTCCGATACAAGGTAACCGGTATCATCAGCGAAGAAAGCATATATTGCTCCGTCTACCATTATGCCATCGGCAGTAAAGATGTTGCACAGAGTGGGGCTAAGAAAAGAACTTTGTGGGACACGAAATGGGATTTCGTGTGTAGTTGACAGTGATTCATTCATGACGACTTGGAAACTTCTTCCCTTCAAGAATGAATAGATCATTTTAATTTGCTATAGCAAGCTTGTGAACTAATGCTTCCTGCTACACAGAATCGTAAGCTTTTTCCACGTCGAGGACATACATGCCTGTGAACTTCTTCTCCGAAAACCCCTTTTAATATTCTGAGTGATCCGGACTTGGTGGCGCTTGAATCTAAACTGTT